AGGGTTATGGGACCATTTATCATTTTGGCTGAGGAAAGGGTGAAGGCAGAGACCATGTCAGGGTCCCAGACAGGCTGAGTTTTACCCTGGCAGAGGTTGGGAGTGGGGTGTTATTCAGGGCACAGGGAGCTGTAAAGCTGAAGGCGAGTTGGCCATGGCACAAAGGCTCTCTCAAGTCCCCCTTGGGGACATCTTCAGGCTCTAAAGAGCTTTTATTCCCTGTTTCTGAGAGACAGGGAGGAAAGAAAAAACTTTTGCTGAGGTTACCAAACTACTTTCCTGCTATTCTCATCTCCACACCCTGGCCAGGGAGGAGCGGAAGGAGGAAGAAATTTTGGAGTAGACATCCAAAGTCAATAGGTGAGTGTCAGGTGACAGGACCCAGCCTCTCTCATAAGCCATGGAGGTCCCCCTAAATACTTATCGTTTCCTTGTTCCTTGTCTGAACCTGGCCTTTAGCCCAAGGTGTGCCTGGTAGGCAGCCACTGGAAAAGAGTCCCTGTGATCCCCTGTAGCCCTATGTGCCCACCTGAGCCTGAGTGGTCCCATCTATAGAAGACGAGTCTTTCTTTCTGGTGATGTATACTGTGCCCAAATTTTAGTTGTCTGTACAACATTGGTGGAAGTGGAGAGCTGGCAAAATTAAAAATTCAGGGTAACGCATTTGCTAACCGGGCTGTCTTTCCCAGGCCAAACTCCTAAGGAAGCAAACACTCTGATCCCCTTCACCTAAACTTTTGTCTGAAGTGGACTGCAACATCTTCAGACAAATTGCCACGTAACGTGGAAAATGCCTTTAGACATGGTAGCCCTGGATTTCTGCCCCCTCTCTAAAATACTCAGAGTTGGGGAGGCAGGAATTTGCCACTCAGGGAAAGAAGTGGCCTCTGTTTGACCCTCCAGGCTCAGAGCAGAACTGGTAGTTCTGAACAGAAGAGCCAGATAGGCAAAGAGTGGGAGCAGAGTTCAAAAAGGCACAACATGAAAGAATCTAGATCCTAATCAGTGAACGCGTGTCTTTAAGGAACAGGAGGCAAACGCTGCTGTGCTGGCCCAGTGCCTCTGCACTGTGAGTTCCACATGCCTCCAGGGGCATGAGTCGAGTCCTCTCCTGTGGCTGGCACCTTTCTGCTGCCTACATGGGTTTCAGCAGAGCCCCCCCTAGAGAGTATGCAGTGGGGTGACATCTTATCCTCCTACTGACAGTAAAGGGAGAAAGTTGGCCTAGGAAGACCAGAGCCTGAAGTCATGTCTTCCTGGGCCCTGCATGCAGGGTTACCAACGGAGTCCATTTCCCTCTGTGTACAATCTCCATTCTCTACTCCACATTTGCCAAGCTCTGAGTCTGACAACAGTGGAGGATGATCAAATGCTTCTTGGCTACCTGGATGAAGTACATTTCCATGGAGGTACCTTCCTCTTTGTGTCTGACTAAGGCTGTGATTTAATGGATTCTGTATTTCTCAGATCATATCGAGAAGTGTTACTAGAGCACAGTGAGAAGTTGGCTTAGGACTGAACATTTGTTCTGAATAACCTGAGATACATAGACACCCTTACGGATCATTAAGATTTGAGCTCTATTTGTACAAAGGCCAACAAAGACCTCAGGGCGGTGCATGAGTTACTAGATTTCAGTTCCTGCTCCCTGAACGTTTTTTTTTTTTTTTTTTTCCTCTTTTACACTTCACTAGGTGAGGATAGAAGTAAGCTAGTTAGTGACTAGAGAGAACAAATTACTGGAAATGATTATGTGAACTTTCACACATGAGCCTACAAGAGAGAAATAAGCAGACCTGTGGAACTCTACACAGGAAAGGACCTAACCAGATGCCCCAGCTGTAAGTCCAAACAAGGAAGGAAGCATAATAATCAAGGATCAGCTAAACCAGCTTGTAAGCCCATTTTGTGTTTGCCTTTTCCCTTGTCATGGATCTACTTAATTTCTCTGAACCTCAATTTTCTCATCTATAAAATGGGAGTGGTCATATCTACATACAGAATGTGCTGTGTAGAGACGTGAACAACAGAAGGTGCTTAGTAACAGAAAGGAAGGAGAATTAGGGCGGCTCACTCTGACCTGGGAAGCCACCCAATGCTATGAAATCAGCGATTTCCCTGCATCTGGATTAGAAATCCCCATGGAGTTTTCCCTGGTTCTAGCCTAGGGAAGAATGTTTCCTTGACCCTCATTTTAGGGGGGAGGCATTGTGTCAATGACAGATCCATGATGAAACTTTTTTTTAAAAATGATACCAAGTTGTGGAGTTGGCCTGCTCCACCTGTTTTGCTTCTGGTCCTTTAAGCAGAGCTCCTGCCTCAGCCATGCATCGTTTGGCTTGGCCTGTAAGGAAAGCTGTAAGCACTAGGGGCAGCCCCACTTCCTGCAGCTCTACTCAGGTCTTACCGCTGCCTCCCTCTAAAGACCTGGCCCTGAACTGAACTTGGCTCTACACTGGCCCTTTCTTTGAACTTGTGCTCTCAGTCCTCCCACTGATGGATCTCAGCTTTCTCTAAAACAAGCTTACTTCTGGACACTTTCCTGGCTCCAGCCACTTGGCCAGGTCCCTTGTCAGGCGAGTCTCTCTACTCTTCTGCCCAAGACTGGACAGCCAGGCAGGACCTTCTAGCAGCTTAGTTTGGGACAGGAAGTAACAGAGCAATTCAGAGGGAAGAACAGTCCCAGAGATGGGTGGCCAGGAAGCTCTTGAAACAAGGGTCTGCTCCTTCACATCAGAGAGATGGCAGGAGAGTCTTTTGTGGTCTTATGGCTTTCTGCAGGGATTGCTAATTCTGGTCAAAGGCCAAATGCAGCCTCTTCCTGTTTCTAAAAGTTTTGTTGGAATGCAGCTCAGCCATTGGTTTGTCAGTCCCATACTAGCTGCTTCTGTGCTACAGGGATAGTCCCGTGAGTGGCGTCACAGGGACTTCATGACCCACAAACTCTAAAATATTTGCTGTTTGGCCCTTAACAGAAGGACCAGGAGCCAAACCAGTGACTCCTGGTTTAGTGCATGAGGTTTCCCTAATGGGCAGTCTGAGGAACTCCAATTCAGTGAGATTGAGTGAGATTGCTTCACCAAACATAATAGTCCAACACTCATAATGGCTCCCTCCTCAAAGGTATTCACAATGTTCCTTTGCATATTAAAGACTCAGCAGTCCTGCATAGAAGAATCTGTTTGTTGTTTAGTCTAGCATTTACCAAGCTTCTTCAATCTACTAAGCCTTTTTTTTTTCCTCCTAACACCTGTTAACATCTTGAGAAGCTGGCACTTTGGACACTCTTTGGCAAGCACCAGTTAGGTGGAAGGAACAGCCTTAGTTTTTGGTCTGTCCCTACTACTGAGCCAAGTGGACTTCAATGAATTATGTATGTGTCAGGGCCTGCTTCCTCACTGGGAATAGGATAATGGCATCTGTCCTGTATCTCACTAATGTTTTTCAGGCAGGCTCTTGAGATAGTGGTCATGAAGACATTTGGGAGGAGTGACTAGTATTGTGGAATTTTGACATTTATATTACTTAGCAAAGGTGAAGTAGAACATACAGTAGATTAAAGTCATGAGTTATTTAGTTGTGGCTCCATTTTTTCTATCTGGGTTAACTTAGTGACTTTAAAAAGGGACTTCCCCCACTGGGCCTCAGTTTCTTCACTTCTACACTGAAGATTTTAGGCTAAATCTCTAAGGATCTATTAGCTCTGAAATTCTGTGATTCTACTTGGTTAGACACATGCAACATCCCTACTCCTACACAGTATCCCATTGGCTTTCTTGGTATAGCATCTGGGTCAGGACACCTCCAGATATAAGGAGGTGTTACTGAGGATTCTGGTGTTGTTGACAGCTTAGAAGGTGGGGCTGAGCTTTCTGGAAATGTCCATATTGTGATTCCCAATTCCATATCGGAGTCTTTCTTTCCCTTGTGCTTCTATCACTCAAAGGCTGTTCTGTCCCAATATGGTGTCCAGACATCTTGCCAACATCCAGTAGAGGAAAAGATAGTGAGGTCAAAGGTGTAGCAAAAGTTCCCCAATAGACATGAGGTAAAGTGGTTATAAAGCAGAATCCACATAAAATTTCTCTTCTGTTCCCAACCCCACATCCCAAAACCATTTTTCAGCTTCATTAACCATCTTTGATATTAAGGATTTATAAACAGTTGAACAAGAAGAGCTTTACAAAGAAAGTAAAAATCTACTGACACTCTCTTCCTCCACGAATTTAGGAAAATCCCAGGAAATCTTGACTGGGTCAAAAGGTCTACAGCTTAATGAGGATGGGGACAAATGGAGAGTGGTGATTTGAGCAATGAGTATTCTTCCATTTGGTCTTAGTATAGAAACCACCTGCTGATAAGGCCATTTAGGGGACTCCCAAATGAAGGGGCAGAGGCCCAGGGGGATTCAGAGCTCTTGCCTGGGCAGATCCCCCATGTCCTTCCAGCCAACCACTCAGTCATGGATATGTACTTGGGTCCCACTGAATTGGGAACATAGTCCCACTGGGGACATAGTGACATGTATGAAGCATAATTACTATTCTAAAGGAACCAAGACTCTGACTGAGCAGGCAAGGCTGGTACAGGTGAATATTTTTACATGTGAGCAGCAGACTGAGTAAGAGCAGACACCAGAGTCGGGGACAGCTGGAGAGGGCTGGCAGTGATGGCAGAGAGGCTGTCACTTTCCACACTGATTGAAACCTCTTCTTTCCAGAAATGGAAATTCCATACTTTTCCTAGGTGACTTTCCAGTCTTTCTTGAAGCCATCTTTGAGTGGTACTGTCACCTTGACTGTGGAGAAAGTTTAATCTTCTGGGGCCCAAGATGGCAGCTTCTGCTTCCCTAGAGAGGAGCTTGAGCTCCACCAGCTTGGTTTCATGTGGGTGGAAGAAGGAAGATGAGACGGGCTGGAGTCATGGAGGTGTTTGGTTCTGGTTCTTCTGTGGTGACTGAGCTGTTTATATTTCCATTCCTGAGTTCTTCTCTCGGATAGTCAGGGTGTCAGGGTGGCTTGGGTAGGAGGAGAGTCACCCTGCAGAATTTTCTTGTCCACATGGGATAGCTGGTCTGGTTGGGGGTCCAACTCCAGGAAATGTGTCATCTGAATCAGAGTGACTCTTGATGTCCTTTCAACTTCTTGTGCTGTAGAGACACAGGGAAGGCTATCAGGAGACTGAAGTAGACAATGCTGACTTTGATTCCTCTGAGAACTACCCTCATCCACCTACTGCAAGTTTCTGAGAGCTTCCTGAAACTGAAGACTAGCAATTGAACCCTTAGAACAACAATGATGAGCCAGGCCTTCGGGGTCCTGGCTCTGAGAACCACTTGCTCCGGGTAAATCTTGCCTTTTCTTCACCAAGTGTGCACTCCCTCTGGGAGACTTTAAACCTGCCTGCCACAATTCTGTGAGAGAATACAGCAGGGTGGTGCAGAGGGGCACATTCTGTGGCCCCAGTGCTGGTCCCTACACTTCTGTGCTCTCTGGCTGGCGTTGCCCTATATACATCTACACCTATGGCTAATGGAGCTACTGCTATTGTCCAAAGAGCTTCTCCTTGAGCTCTGGAGCACCATTTTTCCAACCCAAGAAACCAAGGCTAAGGGTTGTTAATGGCTCAGACTAGAATTTAGCTCTTCTATATACCATAGTCCCAGCACATCAGGGAGAATGAGCCTCCCTCTCCCTGGCCTTGGGCTACTTAAACTCAACTCACAGGTTCTTTTCCTCTGGAACTTCCTTTGCAACAGAACCAGAGCCACAAGCAGCACCAAGGCCAGCGCGGTGGAGACTGGAGTGAGGATCTGAGAGCTGCTTTCCTCTTCTGGAAAGGCACTGGGGTGGAAGGAGTCACAGAGGGACAAGACGAGCACAGGAGAGGGGAGGTTTGTACTGGATAGAAAATTAGAGACCTTTTGGCCCACCCCCCTCATTTCACAGGAGGGCAAGGTGAGGACCAAGGGTTGGCTGCCCTTGGTCCCATGCTGGTTAGCGGCACTGCTGTCTTCAGGTTCTCAAGCCCCAACGTTTGCTCTCTACTCCACTGTCCTGTGCATGGGCCACCATATGTGCCATAATGACAAAGAGGGCAAGTGAGAGTCAGAGACTCTTGCCTTGACATTAGCTTGGCCACAACCTTTCCTTGTGGCTTCAGTAAGCCCCCTCCCCTCTCTGGAGCTTTCATTCCTCATCTTAAAAAAATAAAAGTTCCAACCTAAAAATTCTGTGATTCTATCATTTACATTTTGCTTGTAAGCCACATAAAAGTACTCTAGTAGCATTCCCACAGTAAGGACCCTCAGTGGGGGAAAGTAGCTGATGTGTAAGTCCCCTGTCCTTTGTATCATATTGCAGGTACAAAGGCAAAGAAGTGAGCTGAAGGAAAGGCGAATGCAGGGGGACAGATGTACGGTCCCAACTCAGAGAAGGGGACTGGACATACCTCTTCATGGAAGACCCCTTGCCAAGGGGCCTTGGAGGACCTGCTGCCAGGTCCTGGCCTGGAGTTGCTTGGGGATCATTGTCTCCTTGTTGACCACTGTCTCCAACAGTGCTTTCTAGGTCCCTGTCAGTGCTTCCTTCCAGAGATGCCACCTCTATGTCAAGGGTTTTAAAGGTCCACATGCCTGGAGCTAGGATTGATCCCTCCGTGGAGCCCGAGACTCGTTGCTGAGAAACCACTGTGGCTTCCCAGGCTGCTTGTTCTGAGACCCCAACTGAAGGCTTAATTGTTCTTATTGTCTTTCTGGCTGCATCCAGAGCTATCCTGACCCTCTCTGTTTCCTCCCCTGGCCAATTGCCCTGGGTGGTTGTCATCTTCCTCTCATCCTCACTAACCCTGGCTCTATGAGTTACTGACCTCCGGGTGCCCCACACCCAGGCATCCTCTGTTGTACTAGACACACTTCTGAGTTTTGAGGCTGGACTCTCTGCTCTGGTGACTGTTGTAGTGATGGAACCCTCCACCCTGCTGCCCATCTCTGGAACTATTTCTCTGGATGGTAGTGGGGTTTGTCTTTCTTTAGCTGAAGCTGTGATTTTTCTGGTTCCAGAAGTTGGAGCAGCTCTGTCCCATTCTGACCCCTGTCCTAGAATCTGGGTGGCTCCTGAAGTCCATTTATTGGCAGCTGGAGATACTGTCTCAAAGGATGTGGTGACAAGTTCACCAGGAGCTGGAAGGGCTGTGGGGACCACGTCAGAAGGACCTGTGTGAATGGCAAAGGGAGACCACATGGAAAGGCTATCCAGGCCGCCTACTGGATTTAGTAAAGGACACTGGGATTAAAATGTTGACTAAATAAGATGCAGCCTCACTAAGAGATACAAAGTTTGGTCACTATGTTGGGTAAAAAGGTGGAAATCCCAGACATATTCTCTAGACTCTTGCAAATGTTGACATTCTATATTCCTATCTCCTTCACCCAGGTCCACATAGTCTCTCTCCAGATGCCCATGCCGCCCTTTTCCCCCAGAGGTCCAAAGCCCAGTAGGTACTACTCTTCAAAAGAGAGTGTGGTACACACACAGGAGGCTGAGGCAGGAGGATCGCCAGGTTTAAGGCAAGCCTGGGCTACATAGTGAGACCCTGTCTCAAAAAAAGCCAACAAGCAGCCACTTCCTAACATGCCATCTCCTCTGAATAGTGGCTTTTGCAGCCTGAGGCCCCTCCTCCTACTCTGGGTAACTGACTTTGGATCAATTCTCTGGAACTTTCTACATAGGGGGTGGGCTTAGGGGCTGTCATCCATCTGCTGAGGAGCTCAGCAGAGGTCTGTCGTGAAAGCCCAGTCCTAGTTCTTCCGTCACACTGTCATGCTGCTCTCCATGTTTAAGCACAGAACTTTTTTGGAACCTATATTATTGAATTCACTACTTTCTTGGAATGTATCTCAAATACAGATTCCACAACATTCTGGGGCCAGAAGGACTGGGTGGAAGAGCTTATGTACATTTGATTGGAAATTTTTCCCAATCTACCTTCGTCCTAAAGGTAGCATTCGTCTAGGTAAAAAGCCCACCTTGTCTAGTTTTTGTTCTGCCTCCAGTTTCTTCCTGCCTAAGGTTTAAAGATTTTTGGGCTTCTGAGCTTTCCTTGCACCTTTTAGCTTTGGCTTTCCCAGGATTGACTCATTAGCCATCAGCTCATACCTGCAGAGATGGTCAGATTCATGCTGAAGAACAGCATGTCATTTCTGACTCCAATGCCACAACGATAGAGTCCCACGTCATCCAGGGACAGTTGGGACAACCTCACTTCGAACCTGCCACTGTGTGGGAAGTCTGCTAGTGCCACACGGCCACGATAGGCACGGTGAATGTAATGGTTGGTGGACACAATGGTGTAGCAGGTCTGCGTTGGAGGCCCCAGGCGGCACCAGTACTTCCTCTGGTGCCTGTTGACTGACAAGGGGGCATAGTGGCACTGGATGGTGACAGCTCTTCCAGGCGCTCCAGACACCAGTCTTGGGCCCTTCAATGCATTTGTGGCTGCAGGCAGAGAAAAATGTCAAATGAGAAGGAATGGTAGATACAGGAATCACTGTTTGGGGAGTTACCAGGTCCACACTCTGCTAGAATGAGAAGTCTGGTCAGAAAACGCCTCCAGGAAAGTGGATCAGAATCAGTGTAGAAACGGCAGATCTTAGCCATTTAAAGAAGCAAGAGTCACCCCAAGATATGGAAGGGAGCAAGCTGTATGCAAGGCCCCATCTGAAAGATGCAGTAAGAATCTTACTCACCGTTTAGCCAACACTTATCACGTGTGAAGTGTTCTCATGAAAGTCCATCCAGAGCTCAGATTCATCCCACCGTGCTCTGTGCAAATGTCTGTAAAGGTGCCACCAAAGCACATGTGGGAGGAAGGAGGCGACAGACATCTGACAGAAAGCTTCAGTTTGCATGGAATGTAAGAGAAAGATGCTAAACAGTGCAAACATCTCTGTGTGCTTTCCTCTGAGAAAGAGAGAGCACCCGAAACACAAGAATCTTACTCTGCTTGTGTGTGGGGGTACATCCCCAGACTAGTAGATGCAAACTTTTTCACAATGGCCATTTGTTTGTGCAAATCGACAACCAAGCATAGATGAATAGAGATCTGTGCAAAGGCACGGATGAGCAGGACTGTGACTATGTCAGCTTCAACAGTAAGTATAAAAGTAAGTCATAGTTGAATTAGAGTATATAGTCAGCATGTAGAATGACTTTAATCTGATAGGATGTGCATAGTAACAATGTTTATTTTTTCTCTCTCTGCCTCTTTTTACTACCTCTGTGGACTTCTCTGCTCCTCCATTAAATCTCAGGCAAAATCATCAGCTCTCTTAGAAAACAGAGCCCCTACCCCCACCCCCATAGGGAGGTGAATGGCTGGGCTGTGTTTGAAAGCTCTGAAAACTACCCCTGAGGACTTCCTTTCCCACATCCTGAATCGTCTTCTTTATTTCATTCAGCTCTTGGTGTTTTCTTAGGATTTATTCATGTTCTCTTTAATTTCATTCATTATTCTTATAATCATTTTTAATACTTTGAAGTTTCATCCACTTCGCTATTTGCTACAAAAATCAGTAACTTTTTTATATATGTATAACAAACAGGCTGAGAAAGACATCAGGAAAACAATTTCATTCACAATAGCCTAAACAAATTAAATACTTAGCAATAAAACTAAGAAATTAATAAAAAGACCTCTATAATGAAAACAACAAAACATTGAAGAAAGGAATTGAAGCCATCTGGGTGCTGGTGGCTCACACCTGTAATCCTAGCTCCTTGGGAGGCTGAGTTTGGTAGGATTGCAGTTCGAGGCCAGTGGGCAAACAGTTCATGATACCCCATTTCCAAAATAACCAGAGCAAAATGGACTAGAGGTATGACTTGAGTGGTAGAGTGCCTGTTTTGTGAGTATGAAGCCTTGAGTTCAAACTCCAGTCCCACAAAAAAAAAAAAGAAGAAATTGAAGAGGACACCAGAAGAATGTTCATGAATTAGCAGAATTAGTATTGTGAAAATGGCTATACTGCCGAAAGCAATCTACAGATTCACTACAATCCCCATAAAAATTCCAATGTAGTTTTTCACACGAACAGAAAAATCAATCCTGAAATTCGTATGGAAGCACAAAAGACCCCAAATAGCCAAAGCAATCCTGAGTAAAAAGAGCAATGCTGCAGGTATCACAGTACCTGACTTCAAACTATCTTACAGAACCACAGCAACAAAACAGCCTGGTACTGTCACAAAAGCAGATAAGCAGACCGGTGAAACAGAACGGAAGACCCAGGAAAACCCACACAACTGTAGCTATCCATTTTTTGACAAAGGTGCCAAGAAAACTGAAAACTGAAGATAAGCCCCATTCTCTCTCTCTGTACAAAACTCAATTCAAAATGGACCAAAGATGTTCATGTGAGATCTGAAACTTGGAAACTACTAAAAGAAGATGCTGAAGACATTGAAGATACAGGCAATACCTTTCTGAATAGCACTCTAATTGCTCAGCAATGAAGAACAAGACTTGACAAATGGGTCTGTAAGAAGCTTCTGCACAACAAAGCAAACAATTACCAGAATAAAGAGACAAGCCACAGATTGGGAGAAATGAAAAGAGCAAATTAAACACATAAGAACAACCAGCCCAATTAATAAAAAGGCAAATAAATTGAACAGTTCTCAAAAGAAGAAGTCCAAATGGCCAACAAATACATGAAGCAATGTTCAACCTCCTTAACCATAAAGGAAATGCAAATCAGAATGACAGAGATTCCATCCCACCCTAATCATCAAGAAAACAGCCATAAATACTGTCAAGGATGCAGTGTAGGGGTAGGGAAGGGTCCCTTATATATTGTTGGTGAGAATGTTAACTAGTGCACCAGTATGGAAATCAGTATGGGAGTTCCTCACAAAACTAAAGCTAGAAGTACCATTGATCCAGTGATACCACTTCTGGGCATATGTAGGAAGGAATGAAAGTCAGTGTACAATGGAGATATTGGCACACCTGTGTTTACAGCAGCACTATTCACAATGGCCAAGCTGTGGATCAGTCCATGTGCCCATCAACCAAGGAATGGATAAATAAAATGTGGTACATACACACAGTGGAGTATTATTCAGCCATAAATCAGAATGAAATTATGTCATGTGTAGGAAAATGGATGGAACTGCATATCATCATGTTAAACAAAATAGGCCAGACTGAGAAAGAACGAAATCACATGTTCTCTCTCATATGTGGAATCTAGAGCTAAAAATAAAAATGACGTAAGTGTAAAATGGGGGTACTGTCTGGGGGTGTGAAGCAGAGGGAGGGGGGAGGTGGAAGGAGGGGGAAGTGTGAGATGTATATAATTGAAGTACTTCATATGCTTGTATGGAAATAGAAAAATGAAACCCATTAAAGTTGTTTAAAAGTGGGGGAGGGAGGCTAAGAAACAGAAATAGAGGAGTGAATTTGATCAAAGTACATTACATGTATGGGAAATATCACAATGAAAACCCTTTGTACACTTAATATATGCTAAGAAAGAATAATCAGCTCTTAAAATGTACATTTAAAAAATTAATACTAAAATGAAGAACCAAAACTCTAAGAACTCATGTGGATGTTTACTAATCAATAGCTCTTAATTTTATATGACTATATTATATATAATTACATATAATTAAATTGTTTGAGAATTTTATATTAGTCACCTGTGAGAATTAAATCGTGGCTAGTATTTTAGGATCAATGTGGTACCACCTGGGGCCCTGATGCCAATTCCCTGCCCCTTGATGGAGGTGGGTGCTCCTGGATCTCATATTCATCGTTACTTAGCAGTTGCTATGGCTTCTGTTAGGGTGGGGTGGGGGGTGATGCCTGTATTTGAAGGCAGGCTATGGATGGGAGCCGTACTCAGTTTGAGAAATGAGGTCTGTGGCAGGATAAAGGGAGAGGAGGGGTTGTACCTGAGAAGGAATGTGCCTCTCGCCAGCAAAGGGGTGAGGAAGATGTGAGTGTTTTCATGGCACAGAGGTGGATCCTGGAGGTGAAAGAGGCAGCCTGTGGCCATCTGAGATGGGGTCCTCTGTGTGGAGGGGCTGAGGATGAACCTGGGCAGAGGGAGGAGCTGAGCTATCAGGGGGCTGCCAAGCATCAACAAAAGGCAACTGCAAGAGGAAGAGGCAAGGAGCCAGCCCTGACCTTCTGCCCCAAATCCCAACAGGTAAGAGCAACTGCTTACCTCCTCCTGCTTTCTCTATTATTCTGACCACACTGGGTCCCAAGTGCAAGGCAGAGAGGCCAGAGAGGAAAGGAGAAGACGGCACAACACCCCTTTCTGGTCTTGGAGGGATGCTTGGGTGTGTCCCTCAATGAAGACTAAAGTGCTGGCCAAAATATTTAACTGGGCTCTTGAAATGAGCAAATTTGGGACACTGGAGACTTAAAGCAACTAGTTTAGGACTATTGGGTGTACGTTAGCAGAAAATCATAGGTCTGCCTGTTTGGGCACAGGGGAAGCCTACTTTTAATGACAAATTTTAAAGGGGCACTGGGAAATTGAAACAGAGGCGGTGTGATTATATCACATAGACAGTGCTTACTCAAATATTAGCTATCCTTGATTCATTAAAACTCAACTGATAAGTCAGACAAGGTTAATTCCTTTTTGGTATTACTATAACATTTTCATTCATTCACTCATTCATTCACTAATTCATTCACTAATTCTAGGTAACAGACACTCCTGGCACACACTATTTTCCTCAATGGCTCCCGATTACCATTAGAGTAAAATCCAGATGCTATCACATAGAGACAGGGTCACTTGTCCTCTGAGCCTGTTCTGTACTTGGCCAGCCTCACCCCACCAGCCTGCAAGCATCTTTAGGGCAGGGGTCTTGTTTTTCATTTATCGGTCCCTAGTGCCTGACACATAGAAACTCTTCTCAAATGTGTGTTTAACAAACAAATGTGTGTTAAAGAAGTGAGCAAATGAAATGAGATGATTTTGAACTCTTAGTAGGGCAAGGTCCTCATCTTTATTGTCCCTAATGCTGGGCCTGGCAGAATGAGTGGAAAGGAAGCACTGCTACTTCTGTGTTTTGTATACCCTGGAGCTGTTCTCTTGAAAATGCAGCTGGCTTTCAGTCATCCACTTAAATGGAAGAGGCACAGACACGGGGAATGTCAAAACACTGGCTCTTCTAAGATGTCATCAAGCAGGCTCTGTCATATGAGCTCTCCCCTCCCACATTCACCCTGAGCCCATCTGGCCACTCCCTGGATCCACTGCCTGGCCTTGGACACCAGCAGAGACAGTGTGGATGTGCCTGATTGGGCTGAATTTCCGTGTGGTGCCCTGTAGGAGCCTGCAGCCTACAAGATCCTGGTATGCTTTTGCTCTGGACTGTGTTTGGGACTCACCTTGCAGCAGATATAGTACGAGGAGGAGAGGCATGGTCCATCTTGCCCTCTGGTTGGCAACCTATAATAAACAAACAAACAAACAAATAAATAAATAAATAATAAATACAGAGGTGTAAGAGGAGGCAAGTGAAAAACTTGTAATGAGCCCAGTACGGGCACCTTGTAACTCTGGGATCTCAGTTTGCCCTGGACAGAGGCTGGGTTGTACGCATCTGAGAGCAAGACAGAACTGCCTCCCTGGGAAGCAGGACCCTGTCCTCACAACTCTTAAGCAGGCACATTTGGTCTGGGTCACTGCCACCAAAGTTAAATTTCCCTTACTCATAAGATTTCTGTGTTTGGAAGAGCTAAAATACGCTCTGTGGCCCTCCAGCCCCAGAACCCGCTTGCTAGCGTGGAGCCCCGATAGAGAGTGGAAGAAGGCATGCTTGAAGTTCAAGCTTCGTTGGAGTTGAGGGGCTTGGGAAAGGCAGTCTTGGGCATGCGTCCCTCTCCAGGGGAAGGAGAGGATCTGCATGGCTGTTTCCGTATGGTGTGAGAGCGTGGTCACAACAGAGGCGGGCAATGTGTCTGGGGTGCAGGGTGCCACCTCCCCTTCTCTCCTCACCCCTTCCTCCTTGCACAGGGGAATCGGCTCCTCCAAGGCAAGCGTTCTGTTTCACTATTAGTATGTTTCTGTCAGTAAGATGGAGTTAAAATTAAACCTTGGGTCAAGTAGCTGGGGGATTTCCTTCTGTTTCTTCTCCACAGCTTCTAGAAAGCCCTCAGTCCCCCCGCCCACTCCAGCCCATGCTGCTCTTCCCTACTCTGCTCTCCCCCGCTGGCCGGCAGAGCTCACTCCTTTACCTTTAGGCTCTGAAGCAGGATCCAGCACATAGTAGGTGCATACTGAGTGGCTGCTGTGATCAGGAACCCTCTGCTCCTTTAATGAATATGATAAAGACCGCTACTCAATGGTGTTTTTTTGCTGCTGATTAAAAAGGTAGAGATTGTACACTATACCCCTTTTGCATTCCACATAGGGTATTCATGGCTGAGTTTTAAATGATCAAAAATCTGTTTTTGCTGGGCGTGGCGGTACACACCTGTAATCTCACCACTCTGGAGGCAGAGACAGGAGGGTCAAGGGTTTGAGGCCAGCCTGAACTACATAGCGAGACCTTGTCTCAAAAACAAACAAACAAACAAACAAAACAAGAAAAACAAAGCAAAGTAAATTTGCTTTTTGAGTCTATCTACTGCTTGCAGTTCTTGGGGCCTAAAGTTAGCCATTGCTTTTTCCTTCGTACTTGGATACATACTTCAGTAGTGTTAAGAACAATCAGTGCCCTGACCACTCACGGGCAGGAACCCCACTGTCCCAGCTATGTTGGACAAAGCCAATGTGGAACACAGCTGTGCAGAAGGAAATTGAAGGAGGAGAAAAGGGAATGGGGAAGGAAAGCAGATACAGGAAGCAGGGAAAGGGGAATAGGCAAGAAAAGGTAGGAAATCAAAGAAGGAAAAGGGAAAGAGAAGAGGGAAGGAGGTACAGTAAAGAGTCTGGGGCGGGAGCATGGCTTAAGTGTCAGAGTACTTGCCTAGTAAATTCAATCCCAGTGTCATGAGAGAGGAGGAAGGGGGAGAGAGACAGACAGACAGACAGACAGAAAGAGAAAGACACAGAGAGAGACAGACATACAGAAAGAGAGAGAGAGAATAAAAACCGGTGCCTTTTATGTCTTATTGTGAACAAAGCAATTCCCCTTTCAAAACAAAACCAAATTTTCTTGCTAGGTGTGGTGTTATATGCCTATAATCCCAGCACTCAGGAGCCTAAGGCAGGAAGCTCAAGAGTTCAAGGCCAGCCTGGGCTACATCGTGAGACCCTGTCTCAAAAAACCCACACACATAGAAAAAGAGTCAAATCTGTGCTGGCCCTGTAGTGACAACTTGTCACCTGACATGGCTCTGTTCGGCCATCTCCACAAGGCCTCTGGCTGCCCTACTGGCTGGGCCCCAAAGTGGTCAGATTTTTAATCATTCCAAGCTCCTCATACTTCATAGCCATCCTTTTAGGATGGCCCTTCCCTTGGGCACTGTCATGGCAGTTTCAGACTTTTGCTGCCTTACAGGGCATCAGGCTGTGGTCCTCCCCAAGCTGTCCCATTGTGTGACTGCACCCAGGCCCCAGTTTGACTAATATTTACCAAGTCCAGCTACCTCTGAAGCTGGCACCCACACTACCCCTGGACTAATCTTTCTTAAGTGCTAAGTCCTAACATGGGACATGTTGGGGCCAAAGTCTCTTTTGCCCTTTTCCTCCAACACCCAAGGGTTCAGTAGTCTCTTGGCTTAAGAAGCCAAAGCTGTCTCCACGGGGCAATGAGGAAGCACAGAGTGAGATAAAATATCTCCAGGGAGTTATCAGCCTTGATTGGGGGCTGGAAAGATATTATTCAACAGAATGTCTCCAAGTACCCTCCCTGCCAATGACCTTTGGGAATCCTTTCTCCAGGAGACAAGGAGGCCCAATTCAGTAAGGACCACAGGCCTCTATTATGGCACTTTGCATTTAGGGGATAAGGCTCTAGGGGGACTGTCTTACCCTGCTGGATCCTGCTGGAAAGCACAGGCTGGTGTGTGACTTGTGGGTTCCCTGCTACCCCACTTCTTCCAATCCCCTCTTCCTCGGCCCCTAGACAGCTGCCAAGAAAGGAAGGGGCCAGCGTGGTGCAAGGGAGCAGCATGGAACCAGTACTCAGGAGGGTCTTCTCTGCCTGAGTCCGACATCTTGACCTTGACCAAGGCTCCTTCCTGTCCTCTAGGAAAGAGCTTTGCGCATGTGATCTCCACGTCTGTTCTTCCTAATGTGTGTGGGCCCTGTCTTACCAGGGTATTTAGGAACCACGCACTCTGGGAATCGGAGGGAGAGGCTGCAGGCTTTTAGGAAGATGCTCTGGGAAGGAAACTGGGGACTGGTGTGATGGCTGCTGCTATAACTTACCACCTACATTCAAAGCCAGAGCCCACCCTGCAGGAGAAAGTCTCAGGTCACCTTTTGTTCACTGCACTTGGCTGGGGCTTCTCTATCCATCTCAGGCCAGAGGAAGATGCACTTGGACTTCTCCTTTTATCCTTTGAGAATGCTGTCATGGGGGTCTTCTAGTTGTTTTCCCTAAACCTGGAGATGGAGTAGACAGCATGGTGTGTGGACAGCAGCAAGAGCTGGTGCTGGAAAGGTTTGGGTACAAGAGGCAGCTCTGTCACTTACCTCTGTGCCACTTGCATCAAGCCCCTTCTTCTCTGGATCTTAAAGCCAGTCGTTGTCCCTTCTTTTCCTTACTGGCAATTATTTCTGCAGAGTCTTTTCCAGGGGTGGTGATAGTAGCTTCAGAGAAAACACACTAATGAATACTTTCTCTTCTCTTGTGTCTCTTCCAGCACAGATCCAGATTTTTTAGGATCATGGCACAGCTGACTCACTCAGGCATCCTCGAACCAATGATGTGACAATCTGAGCAGAAGACAAGGGAATTTCAGGATTTGGGAGAGGAATTCCCCTGCTATCTGGTTGCCAATGGTGCCCTCCCTGCTGACGCTGGCCCTCTGGCTCCCAAGAGAGTTCTTTGGAACTTTGGGTCACTGGCTCAGTTTGTCTGCTTGCCCTGGTACTTTCTAACTCTAGTCTTGAACACAGAACAATGCACAGCATTGAGATGATCTTCGTGGAAGAGCACAGACAAGTGTGGCTTATCCAAGTGGATGACACACTTAAAAACACTTCAGTATTCCCCTTGGGAAAGTCATTTACTGAGGAAGTTCTTTTCCTTGTAAAGTGTGATCTGTTTTTTTTGAAACTGACACAGCCCATGCACTCAACAACTAAGAGCTCCAAGGGAATGGGACGCAGGCCGTAGTTAAAGACGTTTGTCAGGATG